TAATCCCAGCACTCGGCAGGAGGATTTCTCTGAATTCAAGGCCAGTCCGGGCTACACAGTGAGTTCAAGGTCAGTCTGTCTCAAAAGAAAAAAAAAAATAGGAAGGACGAAAAATTAGACGTTGGTCAGCCTGCTGACCCAAAGTGCTTGGCACATAGTTTAGAGCAATGAGAAAAGGAAATGGCTTGGGAGTGGGTAAAACTGGCAGGGGATGAGGGTGTAGCTCCGTGGTGGAGCTGGCCCGACACATGCCAGGTTCTCAGTTCAATCCCCAGTGCACATACATGTGCACGCACACACAAGCTCAGGATAAATTAGGCCAAAATCCTCACAAAAAAATCTGTCCCTTAACCGGGTGTGGTGGCGCACGCCTGTAATCCCAGCACTTGGGAGGGGAGGCTGAGGCAGGAGGATCGCTGTGACTTCAAGACCAGGCTGGGCTACATAGTGAGTTCCAGGTCAGTCTTAACTACACAGTGAGACCCGGTCTCAAAAAAATCAAAAAAACAAAACAAAACAAAAAAGTTCTGTCCATTCACATGAATTGCAAATTGCAGCAGGGAGGGATAAACCCTATTTCCTTTATCAGGTGGGTAAGGATAAACAAGTTCAGCGACTACCTGGCCTGGACAGGCTTGGAAAAGGAACCCTCAGCTCCCTGCTGGAGGACTGTATTTGAGTTTAATGTTTTGGAGGACATCTGGACAAATGCCTCATCTCCCTGCAATGTATCGTGATGGCTGAGTGCCAAGATGTGTGTCTAAGCTTCTCACTGAGATTGTCATGGTGTTTGTGGCAGCAAAAATGTGTCATCTAACCTAAATGCTTGTCATCTGCTCATCATCGGGCCCCTGGTGGGATAGATCGCGATTGTGTTACAGTCCATACACTAAAGTCTGTAACTAGGAGAGGTGGACCATACCTGTAATCTCAGTACTCTGGGAGGCTGAGGCAGGAGGATCGAAGTTGAAGCCCAGCCCAGGTAATTTACTGACTTAGTGATACTTTCTCAAAACAGAAAAAGAAAAAAAAAAAAAGAAGAAGAAGAAGAAGAAGAAGAAGAAGAAGAAGAAGAAGAAGAAGCCCAGAAAAGAAAGTGCAGTTTCCGGTTTCCAGCCCCAGTGGGACATGGGGAGTTGGGTGGGGCCTTGCAGCCTTGCAAAAGTTTAAGGGGGCACAGAGGAGGACATGGAATGATTTTCAAAGTACTGAATATAATTCTACCAAGGTGTGCGTTGCGGAAAGGGAGAGAGTGTGTCCTTGTCCACACAAAGGCCATCACCGGAAGGTCACACGAGACACGGGAAAATATTCGTTTTGGGGCAGGGAAATAAAGATTTGGGATGGAGAGTTTCTTCTTTGCTTGGCTAATTGTAAATCAGATTTTCATATATTTATCTTTGTTTTTTAGACACAGGGTCTCGCTATGTAGTTCAGGCTGGCCTTGAACTCACTATGCAGCAATCCTCCTGCCTCAGCCTCCTGAAAGACCCTGTCACTAAACTAAACTAAAACCAAATCTAAAACTACAACTAAACGACACAATTTAACTTCTTTCCAGATGCTTTTCCTGGTCACATTAAATAGTCCCAGTTTTTCTCTCAGGAAGCTTTCACCTCCCGAAAGCCGCACTCCGCGACGGTCGCAGGGAGGTCGTCTGAGCTCTGAGCCCCGTCCCGCCTGGCGCCTGGGTGGTGTCCGCCCGTCTGCCGCAGTGAGGCCCGGGTGGGCGCAACGGGTGAGGTGTGGGTGCCAGGACAAGCAGAGGCCGCTGGGCTCATTTTCCCTCCCCGGCATCCGGCATCCGCAGGAGTTAGGAGCCGTCTCCTCTCCACGTTCGAGGAAACAGGCCCAGAGAGGCTCTCTGAGCCCCGTCCCGCCTGGCGCCTGGGTGGTGTCCGCCCGTCTGCCGCAGTGAGGCCCGGGTGGGCGCAACGGGTGAGGTGTGGGTGCCAGGACAAGCAGAGGCCGCTGGGCTCATTTTCCCTCCCCGGCATCCGGCATCCGCAGGAGTTAGGAGCCGTCTCCTCTCCACGTTCGAGGAAACAGGCCCAGAGAGGCTCGGTAACTGGCCCAGGGTCACCCAGCCGGAAGAGGCGGAGCCAGAGGTGGGGTCACTTGGCCAGTTCTCATCTGAGCCATCCCCACACACCTGCTTTGAAGATAACAGTAGGATCCCGGAATGGGAGGCGGGTGAGAGGATGGGGTGGGTCCCGCTTGGGCTGAGTTCCCTTGACCAAGTGACTTTATTATTTTTTCCGGGCGTGGTGCCGTACCCACACACCTTTGTCCCACCACCAGGGAGGCTGAGGCAGGAGGATCTCGATAAATTCAAGGCCAGCCTGAGCTAAGTGAGTTGTATATGTACACTTTAAAAACTAGTAATTACAGAGCTGGAGAAGCTCATGTGCAGCCCCCCTCAGCCCTCCTTCCTGGACCAAACAACACACTCTGTTCTGTGTTACACCAGGTGCTGTGGGGGCAGCGCCCAGAGTCCCACCGCCGTGGGAGTCTAAGGCAGAGAAGCCGACAGTTTGACCCCAGCTCGGGCAATTCAGCCATTTAGTGAAGCCCCGAGTTCAAGTCAGTGCACCCTGGGTTCAATTCTGAGTACCAAAACCAAAAAAATAAAAATTGTAGTCAACATTTGAACTCACTATGTAGCCCAGGCTGGTCTCGAACTCACAGCGATCCTCCTGCGTCAGCCTCCCGAGTGCTGGGATTATAGGTGTGCGCCACGACGCCCAGCTACTTGTGTTTCTTTATAGTTTTATCACTTCTATGTATATCTCTGTGTGTGTGTGTGTGTATGTGTGTGTAACCCAAAACAATATAGTGTTTGGCTGGCCTGCTTTGGAAGCATATGTAAATCCAACTATACATTTGTTTCTTTTTTCTTTGAGACAAGGTCTCACTTAGACTGGTCTCAAATTCAAGTTTCTTCTGACTCAGCCTCCTAAGTGTTGAGATGAAACATATGCACCCCAGGCAGGCCTGCCTTCATTTCTTTCTTTTTCTTCTTTCTCTACCTTTTCTTACTTCCTTCCTCTCCTCTTTCTTTCTTAGACAGGGTCTCACTATAGATCAGGCTGGCCTTAAACCTTCAGCAATCCTCCTGCCTCAGCCTCCTGAATGCTGGTATTACAGACGTGCCTGGCAGACAGGCAGGCTCATTTATAACTTCTTTTGCTCAACATTGTCCTTCTCTCTTCCTTTTTTAGGAGTAGTGGAGACTGAACAGAAGATCTTTGCACTGAGCTACATCTCCAGCCCCCACTGATTTATTTTGAGACAGGGACTTACTGAATCGCTAAATTGCCTAGGTTGGGCTAGAACATGTGATCATCCTGCCTCAGCCTCGCAAAGCACTGGCACCATAGGTCTGTGCCCTCGGTCTCCGTGGCTAGCTCATTTTTATTTGAGACAGTCTTGCTGAGTTGCCCAGGCTGACCGAGAGTTTGTGCTCCTCTTTCCTCAGCCTCCCAAGCAGCTGGGGTTACAGGAGTTCCCCACCTCGCCGGGCCTGTGGGCTTCCGTTTGCTCTTTTGAGCATCACAGCGAGATCCCCACTCTCTCTCGTTAGTTCTGGGTTTGGAGCTGGGCTTTACCTCCTGACTCTGCTGGTCCTCAGAAGAACCAGGAGAGGTTTTCGAAAGTGCGAATACACAAGCCCAACCCCTGTTAATTAAATCAGGATGTGAGGGAGGGGGCTGGGTTGCTTCTGAAAGTTCTCCAGGGAAACTTCATGTGCGAGGCTGAGAGGCCTTGCCCGGCACACCCACCAGCCCTCACACCCTCGTTAACACTTGACACTGACCAAAGTTTCACTTGTCCTCAGGTGCGGAATGGTATCTCACCTTGGCCTTAATCTGCATTTCTCTCCTTACTAAGGAAGCTGGGAGGTTGGTGAGATGCTGCTGAAACAGAGGATAAAAGAAGCTAGCCAAGGGGAGGCGTAGAAGGCGGGGCTGAGTGGCAGGTGCCAAGGTCCTGTGGTGGGAATGGACCGAGATGCAGGAAAGGCAGAAAGGGGGGCAGGGAGACGACGGCTCACGTTGAGGTCCGCGGGAGTCGGATCAGCAGGGCCAGTCCGCGTCGGAGGACGTGTGGGCTGGGCAGCCTGGGAGGGTTTGGCTGAGAGGCACCGTCTGCCCCCTCTGCTTCGTGGGGAGACCACGATGAAGGAGCCACACTGGGGCCGTCGTTCCCCACTGCCCAGCTGGAAACCTCCCGCGCCCTCCGGGCTGCTCGAGGCTCCGGTGGGACCCGGGCCTCCCCGTCTGCGTCCGCAAATAAATAGTGGAATAAATAAATGTAATAAATGACCGCAACCAGTATATAAACCAAAATATTCAACTAATTTTACCAACAGTAGTAAGTTACTCAAGATAGAGCCACAGAATTGGGCATTGCATTCCACAGTATAGATGACAGAGCTTGTACTGAATCCATCATTAATTCCAGCTAGAACAAGCTCTGGTATTGTCTAGAGTGCTGACAACCCAACTGAAGAGTATAGCTGAACAAGGAAAATGGGGCCTCCTGAAACCCACTCATTGGTTGAGCATATTTCCTGTATGTTTTCAGCTTAAGAATCCTGAACTGAATTTGGTTTTCCATGCCAGAAAGGCAAGTTGTGCTTGATTAAGTTATCCCAGACACCCTGTGCTACTTTCTTCAGCTGGCTTCGGCCACAACTCACCTCAAGGCATATGGCTTGTTTTGCAGCTATACTCCCATTACAGCTTTTCCTTCATTAAGTATCTTCTCCCCATCTGGGCA